TGAGGTTAATGGCAAGTCGCGTAGGATATGGGTTTAATGGTGAATAAAGTAGACAAGTGGTTAGGGGCGAAAATTAATAGAAATAACATAATTATTTATTTATTTTTAGACTGAGATTTATGATAATATGTTTTTAAAATAATAATATTTTAGATGCTTACTACATAAATTCCTCTTATTTATTTTGTCGTAGGGAGGCTATGTCACTGGAGAAAAATTTGCGTACGTAACATGCACGCACCACTGTGTGCGTTAGGGAGTTTATTAAGAATGTATTGGGGGGTTATATCCGCGTTACACCCCTGTAACCTCCCTATAACATATCTGTAAACTACATGTACTTTCTAGTGAGTTCCTTGCTTCTATTTTCATATATTTATAGGTTATAAATAAGTTACAAGTGTACAAACCCTAACCCCAGTAAGCTAAATAACCTCCCTGACCTATGTACGGGTCGCTCAAATTTTTCTCCTATCACCGAGAGCTCGTATTTAATCAGGTGTCCTGACGTAGAGGACCATTTAGAGACGAAAAATATGGGACACGTGGCATGGTGGCCCATATGAAATTCCGGATAAAAAAAAACATTTGCGGCTTGGCCCGACCCTAACCCAAGAATGTTACGAAAACACTTTTGCGTTAAGAGTCGAAAGTGCACTGTTTCGAGCGCAGAGCTTCCCCGTTTCGACGTTTCGTCTCTTAGGTTTTGGAGCTAGGGTTTCCATAGGATTGTCATTGTTTGTTCGGAAGACGGTGGCCATTGTTCGCAGCAGAGTAGGAAAGTCATTTCTTAGTTTGAAGTTTAGAGGTTTAGGGTTTGATATTTGCAAAAAATGAAGGGTAAGAGTCGCAAGCAAACCAAAGAAAAGAGGAGTGCTCCAAAGTCATCGAGGTACTGTATCCCTTGTGTTATTGCTGAGTATCCCTTGTATTATTGATGAGCATCCCTTGTGTTATTGCCGAGTTAGCGTTCATTTTTTATTTGGCTGTGTTATTATTGTGTTATCCATTTGTGATTGATGTGTTATAGATGTGATATCTCTGTGTTATAGCCATGTGAATGCTGTGTTTTCTCTGTCTTAATGATGTGTTGTTGTTGTGTTATTGTTGTGTTATTATATGTTATTATGGTTAATAATACGTATGTTTTATTCATCTAGTGTATTAGGGCTTTGCTTTTAGGCGTTACTGATGTGTGAAATGGTACTGAACCACATAATGGTTGTTTATGGTTGTTTAGGGTTGTTTAGGGTGTGTTATGATTGTGTAAATGGATGTTATTGAGTGAATGACACCAATTATCCTTTGTTCATGTGTCAGGAATTTGTATATGTGTTGTATTGCTTTTATATTTGGTGTTACGGAAGACTATTTTAGTGTTATATGCATAAAAACTCATTAATAACAGAATAACACAGTTGAATATTGTGGTTTTATTTTTTTGTTAGTGTGTGTTATATGTATAGGTGTTGTTTAACTTTGCTTTAGGTGTTATATAATTGGTTTTATTTTAGTTGTTGTGTAATATAATTGTATATGAGCTGTATTGCTTTGATTTTGGGTGTAACTCAACACTTTCATGGTGTTATATGTGTTGTATTTCTTTCAAAATGTCTTTTATGGAACTTATTTTAATTTTTTTCATTTGTAGGTTGATGAACGCAAGGACATTCAACTGTAGGTGTTGTCCATCTGTAGTAAGGGGTGCTTTGGATTCTATCATACATCTCATATCAGAGGAGACAACGAATTTTTTTGAAAGAAATGCATGTCTTCCACTTCTTTGATATGCCTCCATATCCACGAGAAAATTTGTTGACATTACACAGTATGAGATGTTAGGATAATGAAAGGAGGGTCTTCAGAATGGGTGGGAAAGAAGTAAAATTGCATCCTAACCACTTGGCATTGATATTAGGTATGTCTAACAGAGGGGATGCAGTTGTTTGGAAGAAAACCCCCTCGCCTGGTGTGGATGCCAGACAAATAAAAGACCAACTAATGAAGTTTTTTGAAGGAAGTTTATCCACTCACTTTGAACAGTTATTTTTTAAGTTTCTACTAACAAATATATTTTTTCCCTCGAGCAATTTTAGCGTGCCCTTGGGACTTTTTTCCTTTTGTGAAGATATATAGTTACTTTCTACTTATAACCGACCCGCTACCAAATTAAGATGAAATCAGTTGCTGGGATGCATCCAAGGTTTTGTTTTTATTTTAACTGTAAGTATTATGCTGTTTACAAAAAATAATATTCATTCAAATGCAGTTTTATTTTTTTTTACATTCCTCTTTCTGATATGAGACATCCACAACTATGATTTTACGAGTACACCTCTGTGTTTGCTCCTCATGTTTCGAAGGTCAGACCTCGCATGCTAAGGTGGCTAACAAATCATGGTTGGACAACAGTAGAGATTCATGAGACATTCATGAATCTTGGCAGTGCAAAGGTAAAATATTTACTTCATGAAAAATTTGAATGTTTAACTTAGCCATTCATTTAATTTATTTGGAATTCATTATGGGAATTTTTGATGGCGTTGCAGATTAATGATTCTTTCATCGATTTGCAAGAGGATGAGCAACACTTACTGTCCAACCCGAAAGAGGGACTACCTAGCCCTGCAAGGGTTGTCCCACATCTAGAAACAACTGTCGGACCATCTTCACCATTATCCCATAGCGTGGGGCTGATTTTTTCCAGAGAGATCACCCTAGAAAAGACGCATACAACAACTAATAAAGAATTCAGAATAATAATCGACATATTGAAAGATCAATAAAAGTCTACTCTTATATTGCATGAAACAATGAATAGAATGAGTCAACAAATGACTTATATTGGGGAGTCATTACAGAACTTAACTGCTATGGTTGAAAGATTGCAAAGAACCCAAGCAGATAAAGAAGTTGATGCACAGACAACAGAAACACACAGATCCTCTCCTCGAAGTGTTAAGTCCACCCACTAACATCATTAAGGACCAAGTTTCTTCAAATTCTTCTGAATCACATTTACTCATGCATTTATAAAAAACGTTCGGTAACACTCTTGAGAGAAACTCCACAATACACTTTTGAAGTAATATTTTTGTAGATATGCCATTGACATAATCTATGCCGTGTTTGTGGGAGACATTTTTCAATAGCCCTTGCCATTGCTTGGTCCTGATCAATGAAAATACTTAATGGGTGTTTGTCTCTCATTATTCTTGTAAAAACTTTGAATAATCATATAAAAGAATCAATAGTTTCCTCGTATAAGAAGCCAACCCCAAACATGTTGTTTTGTCAATGGTGGTTCACTCCCACAAATGGAGCGCAACATAAGTTATACTTATTTAATCTGTAGCTTGTATCAAAAGATGATTACATCCCCAAAATAGTCATAATCCAGTCTGGATAACCCATCACACCAAAAAAAACTTGTTAATCTACCATACTCATCAGTTTGGAAATCTAATGTAAATATGCTATCGTTGGCTGGCCTCCCTATGAACAATTGTATTAGAGAATTGACATCTCCTTGTTCAATTTTTTCTCTTCTTTCTCTTTGAATGAAATTGAACGCATCTCTCTTCGTGCATTCCAAATTCTCCACTCACCCAATCTCCATAGCAATGAAGTTATATGCATTTGTTACTCCGATCCCTGATCCTATCATTGATCTCAGGACATCTGCATTTAAGTCAATTACCTTTCTAATGGAACAAAGAAGATGATTATCACCACATTCAGCCAAGGGAGGATTGTGACTTTCAATGAATTTCTTTAATGTCCATTTGCCTTCAAGGTCAACTACATAGCGAACCATAGCTTGACAGCCAATCCTCATGTTTTACTTTCTGTACTTTATTGTATTCATGAGGTTAGCCTCCTTCTTGTGACCAACTTTTCCGCAAAGGAAATCTTTGGTCTTCCATTTCTTCTAATTCAGCCAATAACTATTGGGGTCCTTCCGAACACTGAAACCTACATGATGTGCATAGACACAATAGGTTTCATAAGCTTCTTCCTCAATGTGGACGATAGTGTTAATAAACTTCTCTGCAATTGGATCACTGCAAATAGTTCTCTGCTCACACGACTGCACATTTCCACAAATTAAGTCCACTGTCAGCAAAGAATAACACAACGTAACCCTAGTTAAACAACAAAATAACAGTAGAATAACACAGTATAATCCGACAATCATGATAATAACAATTCATTGTTACCATACAACACCATAAAAAAACTAAGAGATAACACCACAATAACAACCAATAGAATACAAAAGAAAAACATACCAGTACCACCACTAAGACTAACAATAACACTGCAGTAATGAAAGAATAACACAATAAAATAGTTTAATAACACAACAACATTGATCGAAAATACACCATATTACCATTTAAATCTGAACAGAACTACTATTATACCACATTGACAAAAAATAACCATGAATCCAGAAAAATACAACAGTAACCCAACATAACACCACACTAACATAGTAAAACCCAACGTAACACCACAATAATATAGTTTAACCTAGCAAGCCTGCATGCAAATAACACTAAACTTTTATCGTTAAATAACACCAGTGCAAAAGTTAAACCTAGCTTCAATCTCACTAAACCCTAAAGAAATAAAAATAACATACATTATAAAAATAACATCGTTATCAGACCAAACAATTAACAAAGAAGCAAGTTTGAGCTAAACAGAACTAAAACCTTTCAAGTTTTAGCTGAACTCACTTTATCTTCCAAGTCTAGCGAAAATGATGATTGCAAGACGTTGAGCATGTCGTCGTTTGGCGAGGAGTCCATCGAAGCTGTAAACCCTAAACCAATGGAACAATTCTTATTCAACTGCAAAAACAAATAGAAAGTAAAGCTTTTACAAGTAAATATTTGGGTTGGGCCGGGCCAAGCGCGCTTTGTGAAAGCCGGTGAATAGAAGTGTCAAGCTATTATTGGGTCGGAAAGTTCCTGTACGTTAGGACTATAGAATAATTTGCCCCGTCACCGGCAGCACGAAACTCATAGAAAACCTGTCATCCAGTCGCAATAAGGTTATAGGCGGATAAACACGGTCCCGTCGCCCTTCTTACCTACGGCAATGGCTTTGGTCTCCGCCGACATCGGCTCCGCTTTCTTCTGCGTCGCCAAGCGGTTCTCTGAGCACGCCCTTCGCTTAAGGAGCCCATGTCTCCTCCCGCTTTCTCACTCGAGGAGGCTATCTTCCGCCGCTGGGTTGGGTGCCTACAGAGTGACATCGAAGGGGAGTAACCCTCGATTTCCTCTCACTGCACTGACAAGTTCGAGAGCGTTCTCGCTCAGGTTTGCAACTAACGCCTCGACTACGGTGGAGGGCTCCGATGTGCTGACGAAGATTCCTCCGGATGATCGAATTCCTGCCACCATTATAACGGGGTTCCTTGGTTCTGGAAAGGTGAGAAGATTGCTATGACTGCTTAAGAACCGATTGTAACCATTTACCTCTTATGTTAGGATTTATTGGATTTGATAAATCCTAGTTAACGTAAATTCAGATTGCGGCCAAACACCGCCTAAGTGAAGGTTGAGTTAATCAAGTGCATGATTTCCAAGGGCTTATTTGTTTTCACACGAGTGTCTGGAAGTAGCTTTAGGTCAGTCTTAAAGTGTGTTTCTTGCCGGAGTAACGGTCGGCTGTTTTTTTTTAATTTTTTTTAATTTTTAATTTTCGGTGCTTTGAGCTGCTGTATGTTATAGTTGCATGCAATGCTTTTTGACCACCTTTGTTTTATTTTTTTGACGATTAGCTGCTTCTTGTCATTTGCTTTTCACTGAAACCAGCATCAGGACGGAATTTCGACCATTTTTCATGTGTTTGATCCACGCCTTTCAACAATGACCACGAAACGGCTTAGGAGGTCACGTGTATAGAATTAATATATAGAGAAAGAGGAATAGCTTATTTTGTAGCATATTTTGTTTCCAATTTATTGTGTAATCGGACCTATGGATCATCAACAAATTATAGCATCTTATTATAAATTGGCCTAGTTTAGGCTCATCTAATGAAGTAGGTTATTTCTTCTATATTTGATATGGCATCGAAGCTTTGGGCTTTTAAACATGGGATTATTTTTCATTTGTTCTTCAAATCAATTTTGATCCTTAGATCTCATTACGTATGATTGTTATTCATGTTGGACTTGCCATTGACATCATATTGCGTTTTTGTTCACACATTTGCCTCCATTGTTCGAAGATCTGCTTCCATCACCAGATGTCATTCTCAAATGCATCATTAGAACAAGAAGTTGCAACTTTTAGCCGAGTTCGCATTTGCCACCCAATGTTTGCATCTTCGTGTTCGCCAGTGTTTGTTTTCTAATATATTTAAAATTGCTACCAAACATTCCATGGAAGTCTTTACAGAAACATCTGAAGCTCTGCAGAGTATTTAGGCAGCCTAGATGTTGAATGAGAAGAATTATTTGAGGTGGTCCCAATTTTTCGTATACATTAAAGGAAAGAGGAAAGCTCTCACAAGGATGGGACTGAAAAAAGGAGGCCTGCATGTTATGGCCTACGTTTAGGGAGATTTGGGATGCTAGTTGATAGATACATTTCAAGGCTTATGATGTGGTGCATATGAACTAAAACAAAGTCAGGGCATATATGATGAAATAAGTCAGTAAAATTATCACACGAGTTTTTGTTAAAACCCATGCAAGGACTTCAACAATAGTGATGTATTAAAGTCAAGTGTTTTGAAGATACTATAATTTTGAAGAATTAAATCGAAAAGGTTTGAGTCTACAACTTTCTTGCGGAGCTTAACGTTGATTGATGTCAAGTCAGAGTTCAAATTATTGACGAAGATCACTTGACCTGAATGAATGAAGTCATTACCTTGATTTATGCTGAGGACTACCATAGATGGGTTTTGTTTGAACCCTTAGTGGACGAAACTATAATGGTACCCAAGTGTACTTATAGCAGAACATTGAAGGCATATAAAAGAAAAAAATGTTGGAATTTATTTGAAAACTAAGCAGGGAGGTAATCAATGAAGAAGACAACAAAGACATTAAAGCCGAACAAATTTATTACAAAAAATAACCATCTGAGTCAATGCAAACATTTTGGTCTAGGAAAATTTAATAGTGGTGGTGGTTGAAAGTTCAAAATGATTTGAAGTATCATTGGAGAAGCCCATTGGCGCTTGATCTTGTAGTCTGATGTAAGTTCTCTATTTCTGATGAGCTAAATGTTTGATATGAATATATTGAGATTTTATAGGTTATCGACCCAAGTGACACTCATCATATGTCTAACATTTCTCTAAATTTTACATGCACTCTGCCCAATCAGTAGGAAAATATATGTTGCAGATGGTTTCTTAACCGATAGAGTTGGCTCATGGGATAACCATATCAATCAATCTTCTAATCTAAAAAATGTGCTTATTGTTCTTTGATTATTCACCAATTTGATGTCCACATGGTAACTCATTTTTGATACGAACTATAATGCACTTTTTCGCTTTTCCTACTCTATATTTCAAGACCTTGATTTAGAGGAGATGATGTGATTTGCTAGTGATGTAGACGAGTTGTACTATTTGGAAAGGAATCACGGAAATCAAATATTAGGAGGAATAAAAGTTTCTATGGTTAATTTCTTATCATCGTTCAATAAAGGCACTAGCTTCATTAATTAGATGAGGACACTATCAATTGTTATATTAAGGTCTATGCTTTTAGTTTTATTTTCATTATGATGTCTATGAATGTATAAAACCTTTTATTCTATTTTATTTGATTCATTGCAGCATATCGGGAACTTTCACAGTTCCAAATGTGTTTTACTCGTATTGTTTTGTTTCATTGATTGATGATTATACTAGAATTATTTGGATCTCTCTTCTTAAATCTAAATTTAGTGTTAGCTTTATACTTCCAGAATGTCTCAACATGATCCAAAATTAGTTTGGGTTTAAAATTCAAATTTTTAGATCATTTAGTGTATAAAATTATTTTGTCCATGCTTTATCTCCATATTGAAAAAGAAAGCATTATTTATGAAATCTTATGAATTTGTATCCTTCGACAAAATAGAGTTGCAAAGAAAAAAAAGAAGGTTTACCATCCAAGTATTTCACTTCTATCAACATGTTCCAATGATATTATTAGTGGAAGCTAATCTTGTTTTTTTAAACTACCATTATAATCAATTGACTGCCTTGAGGATTTTTAAGATTTAAACGGCCAAGATAATTGTTCTTTACATTCTTCTTGGATATTGAAACCCAAATAGCTTAATTCCAAAAATTTTGAGTGCATTGATTTGGTCATATTTATCAGCATACCAAAGGAAAGCTCGGTCGAAGAGCTTTTAAGCGTGCCTATATAAACTATTTTTCAACTAAGAGGGGCTAAAAATGTTAACCATCTACACACCAAGAAATTTTCTTTTCCATTGATGTCACTTCACCTAAGAATTATGATATTTCATTGAACCTTATCTTCATATGGAGTCATCCTATACTCTGGAAGATAAGGATAAATAATTTTTTTTAATCATTGTCAACATCATCTATAGCTATTACAACTATTTCCTGGTGACAACTTGAAAGAGAAGATATACTTGAAGTTTCTATAGATTCGAAGCAAACATGTATTAATAAATTTTCTAGGTTGTGGAAAGCATTATATGGTCTCAATTAATCTTAAACTACTTAGTTTGTTAATTTTTTTTTTAAAGTGATGCTTGTTACTAAATCTATATAAATTAGTATCCTGCTTCATCTTAGACCCTTATAGATCCATATGAGACATAAAATCGGTAGATATTTTTGTCAGACGCACTTCTCTTCAACGCACATTTCTAACTTAATTGTTTAGTATTGAATGAGTAAAAAGTTATTCTATCTATATTTTGATAGAAAACAAATTCACTTTAATTATCATCCCAATAATCATTGTCACGATTAACATGGACGAATGTATAATTTTAATCATTAAAATATATTATAGAGCTTTTAAGAACTTCCATAGAATATTTATGCAAATTAGCAGTAGTTTTAATTATATTATGTGCATTCTTCTTTTTCTAGAATGATGTGCCAAAATAGTCCACTGATTATTTATATGGGGTCATTTTAGTCTAGAGTCTATAAAAATGCTAAATTAGTTCTTAGACTCTTTCAATATGAGCTAAAATAGTTCAGAGAGGACTGCTTTAGCCCCTATTAAAAGATTATGATGACTAAATTGATACTTTTATAAGCTCTGGGACTAAAATAACCCCAACAAAGAGTCAGGGGACCATTTTGACACTGTCAACTTTTTTATTACATTCCAAACTTTTTTACTTAAAATTGTAATATAAGGCCAATTTGAGTTACATGATTTTATGCACACCTATTATTTTTCCTTCCTTGAGATAATAGCTAATGTAATACCAAATGACTTAAAAGTTGGCGAGATAAATAATTCTGATACAATATTCAAAATACAAAAAAAAAAAAAAATCATATGAATGCTAATATTTTAAACTAATTTGAGCATTGCTATTCATAGACATGATTAACCTAGTGCATCAATTTTAAAGCAAGAGAAACTTTTGTTATTACACATTAAAAAATTATTACAAGCAGTAAGTTTATCTATCTGGAAAGAAATAAAATGCTGATTTATTAGTCAACATTCAATTTTATTTTTCATTTTTTACTATTTATAATCTTGAAAATATCATTTGATGTTTGTATAAGTTTGGTATATTAATATCGTTTGGTGGTCATCTTAGCTTGTTACTTGTTATTTATCAATAGCCAATCAATTGAAGATTAGACCATAATGTAACAATTTTTAGAATTGAGAGTCAAGAACTCCCATTTGGCTTCTATTGAGACTTATCTCGTTAAGTTTCCACCACCTCATGTGCATGTCATCATCATCATCATTTGCCGACTTATCTCACCTAACATGATTTTTCATAGATTATTGTTAGCATTATCGTAAATATTTTAAAAATGTTTAACATTGTTATGCATCTTATATCAACTAACTTGTATGAATGTGTCGAAATAAAATATTACATGTAAAAATCTACATTTATGTATTATACTATGTATCACATTATGAGACAATTATGAGACATGAATTATATAAAAAATTGTCCACTGCCTTAAAGCTTGGGAAGGATTAAGAATTCCAAGCAACTGACTCACTAGCTTTGACAACCTTCTATGGATGCAGTAAAGTTAGGGGAGGGTGGTCGTGCCCATCTAAGTTGTAAGGTTCTGAGGAGGATTTACAATAGAGGATTTACAAATAGAAGAAGTTGCCTTTGGTAGTAGTTCAAAGTGGTGTGCTTGGGAGAAGCAGCCTTGGAACTGACATTTTATTATCTTGCTTGAATGTTTCATCTTGTATTTTGAAATTGAGCTTCAAGTTTAATGTTCCGACTCAACCGTTCCGTGTTTATTTATTGTTTGATTTTCAAGAACTATGCTCACTCATATTTGAAGCCTATTTTAAATTCAACTAGTGGTGCAAATCGGCGGTGCTTGGATGAAGATTTGCTAATCCTTTGTAGTATACATTTTTGTTTTTGTTTTTGACATATTCCACAAGTGCGATTTTGAATCACCCATATCTCAGTAATCCATGCTAATCATTTTTTCTTTCGAAGTTGTAATCTATGTGGTGAATGGGTTTATTTTCTCAATTTTCTGTTTTGCCTTTCAAAGCAAGCAAAATCACTAGGCTAGCATATGAGCTTGATGCACAAACTTTATATTTTTTTCCTTGAAAGTTTGAGCTGTTTACCTAAGTAGATCTCATGATGCACAGATGTTGTCAATGGAATAAATCCATCCAAATGTTAGTAGGGATGTTAAACAGTATATGACGCGAGGGTTCCTGGGGTCGGTGGGGGTCGGTTCAACAAAGAGAAGGGAGGGGCTAACCGGCCCATATGTTTTGGTTAGGGTTGTTGTCCAATAGGAGGGGCTTCCCCCTCCTATTCATCTTATATATATATATCATCTACATGATGTCGTTGACAACGGCAGGCTCTGCTAGGGTTTTTCCCCATTGCGATTCCCGACGGTGATTCTATCGGTTTTTTCGCTTCTCTTTGGCGTCTCCCACGAAAACGTTCACATAGCTGCAGCTCCCTGTCTCTCTTGTTGAAGTCGAGCGCTCCTAGCCGTCTCCGTAGTCGGCAAGGATCGCTACTGTCGTCGTCGTCCGATTCCATTGACGACGACGCTATCTCTCACAGTCGTCTCTCGTAGCGGACGACATTTCTTCTTGAGGCTGTCTCCTCGCTCGCTCCAGACGAGCCGAGCCCGACAGTGCCCGAAGTTTGCTCGCTTCTTTGCAGCCTGCCAAACTATTTCTCTTGACCGCGACCATCTTGTTAGGGAGATGGCCTCGATGCTCCGTTCCTATGCAAATGCCCTTGTCGACGACTTGCCCACTTCTGCTCGTGCCCCTCCTCTAGTTTCAAAGCCTGGTTTTGCTATTGGTAAGTCATGCAATGTTCCATAATCTTTTTACGAGCCTCTTGAAGGTGGAGGTGATCACACTTTTATTAAAAAACTTGGAAAAAAAAGGGAAGCCTGCACTTATTCTCATAGAAGATGAAACTGATACTCGCGTACTCTTGGCATTTTGCTCTTGGGGAAATTTTTTTATGGTCACCCAAAACTGGAGATCATTAGGAAGGAGTTTGATGCTATGAAACTATTGGGCAGTTGAAACATACTTTTTCAATAATCTCATAATATAGATTACACTCGCATTTTCTCTCGAAAAACTATCAAGATCGACAATTGTTTTATGAAAATTCTGAAGTGGACTGTCGACTTTGATCTAAATGCGGAGTCCTCTATCATTTCAATTTGGATAAAATTTTTGGGGTTAAAATTACATCTGTTCAACATGGAAATCCTATACTCCTTAGCAACTGCTTACGATAAATCTCTCAAAGTGGATAGTCTTACGCTTGCTACGCTTGCTGTCACCAGACCCGCTTGCTGTCACCAGACCCTCTGTGACTTGTGTATTAGTTGAGAGAGATATCACTCAACCAACTCTGGATGAGATATGAATTGACACTAATCACAACAGGGATTGACAAAAGGTTGAAATAGAACCACATCCTCCTTACTGCTCTCATTGTAGTATGTTTGACCACAATTATAATATTTGCTATCGCTTGCATCCTCACCTAAGGCCGAATATTGCTAAAGATTAGTCATCTACCATTCTTGCTCAGAAGGTGCAATCCGATCCTCTTTCCAACATCGCAGTTCTAGATGAAGAACACTTTGCTATCGGTACAGATCCAAATGTGTTGATACCACTTACTGTTATTGAAGAAGTTTCACTTACATGCCAAGACACGAGAGTGCTCTTTCGCCCCGATAGAAGTTCAGCTGGTACAACAAGTAGTTGCCTCTAATGTTCAACAAGCTACACATATTCTGCACACTTCAGACTATTCTGCTAACCAGGTGATCCAATCCTCGGATGAGTAATGACAGGTCTACACGAGGAGGAAGAAGAAGAACGAAGGACGACTCGAGCTAGAGAATCTATTGGATGATACATTGGTTACTATTGACAATGACACTCATCTGACCAATTTATTAGCTACTCCTTCCCTAGAACTAGAGACAGAGGCAAGACAAAATTAGTTTGCTCTCAAAGTGGATAGTTTTACGCTTGCTGTCACCAGACCCTCTGTGGCTTATGTATTAGTTGAAAAAGATATCACTCAACCAACTCCGAATGAGATATGGATTGACACTGATCACAATGGGGATTGACAAAAGGTTGAAATAGAACCACATTCTCCTTACTGCTCTCATTGTAGTATGTTTGACCACAGTTCTAATATTTGCTATCGCATCCTCACCTAAGGCTGAATATCGCTAAAGATTAGCCATCTACTATTCTTGTTGAGAAGGTGCAATCCGATCCTCTTTCTAACATCGCAGTTACAGATGAAGAACACCTTACTATCGGTACAAATCCAAATGTGTTAATACCACTTACTGTTATTGAAGAAGTTCCACTTACATGCCAAGACACACGAGAGTGTTCTTTCGCCCTGAAAGAAGATCAGCTGGTACTACAAATAGTTGCCTCTAATGTTCGACAAGCTACACATATTCTGCACACCTCAGACTATTCTGCTAACCAGGTGATCCAATCCTCAGATGAGTAATGATAGGTCTACACGAGGAGAAAGAAGAAAAACGAAGGACGACTCGAGCTAGGGAATCTATTGGATGATACATTGGTTACTATTGACAATGACACTCATATGACCAATTTGTTAGCTATTCCTTCCCCAGAACTAGAGGCAGAGGCAAGACAAAATTAGTTTGCTCTCCAGCTACCTGATACTCCTATTTTATCATTTTTTGATTTTTATTTTTTAAATCTCTTATGTATTGGTTGTATTTTCCTTTTTTGAAACCATTTGATATGGTGATTTTTGTGTGGACTGGGTGCCATTTTTGGGATCTCCCATAAAATCTATATGTACCATACTTTTTATTTAATATATTAGCCTTTGAGCTTTCAAATATATATATTAGAAAAAGCCCGAGGGCTAATATATTAAAAAGAAAAATATACAGATAAGTTGTATGAGTAGACCTAAAAGAAGGCCAACTTGCTCAATACAACACACAAAATCTCAAATAAAACAGAGCATAAAGATAAAAACCCAAAACCACCAACGGGCGCAAAAACGCTAGGAACGTCCCACTTTAATCCTCCCTCTGCCTCTAGCTCTCGGGAGGGAGCCGATTAACAAATTGGTAAGGTGCGTACCATTACCCGAAGTAATCAACGTATAATCCATCAAATTTTTGAGCTCAAGTAGTTCTCCATTCTTCTTCTTCCTCCTGGATGTGTAAACCTCTTATTCCTCATCCGGGGATTGATTCATCTGATCAATGGATTGGTCCAAAGGTGGCCGGACATGTGTAGGCTGTTGCACATCACGATCCCCATTAACCTGAGTAACATTAACATTTTGCTCGACCTGATGAGGCAGTAGTGAAACAGTAGAAGTATTGTCACCTGTAATATCAATGATATGCTCTAGAGCAGACGAGGTCTGAAGAATCTCCCTCACCCCCACGATAGTAGGTTCCAAAGACGGTGGAGCTACAACATTGTGTGGAGACTGAATGATTGACATATTGTCTGCGAGGATAGTGACGTTTTCAGGAGTATCATTTTGATGATCAATAGTGTCAATAACTTGGAACTGATCATGAGGAGATGGATTCACTGCCTTTGGCGGAGCACTTTGTTTTTTTAGTCTGAGGTAGGGGTGTAGATGGTGATATTAAGAATTAGAGTGTCCGAAGATACGACAGTTCGAATAATACGAAGAAAAATGCTCAATCACTGCATTTTGCCAAATTCCATAGTGTAGTGTGCCCAACTAAATTTTCTCAGAAGAGGTTGAAGTGATGTCTCTTTCAATAAATACTCTGCTTCAGATGGACGAGAAAGATTAAAAGTAGGAATTTCCATTTTGAGTCGCTTACCATAAGCTGAGGTGATAGGAATTTCCATTTTGCCAAATTTTTATTCTTTCTACTAAGTTTCTTGTTGTCCTCCGCCCACTCAAAGGAAGGAGGGAGAAAGCACGATTTAGAAGTACCTGAGGCGTGGATGCCTGCAAGGGCATCAACATACCCATCCCCATTAGATGGAGGTTCCGTGTTAAGAATAGTGAAGAAAGCAGAGAGCAAATTACAATTCCAGAACAGGGAGCAACGATTCGAGCCGTCTCGCAGCAGCATACAGAAGGACTTCGAGCGACAACAAAGAGATGCCCCCGAGCCCGACGACTTCTTGGGACGACGACGAGCCGCTGAAGAAGTTTGCGCCCAAACGTCCTTTAAAAGCTGAAGTACTACGAGAGGTAGCTGAGACGACGCCCTCGGGCCCGACGACTTCATGTGTGAGCCACTGATTCATTAATGCAGACAACCTTGGCAGACGGCTCTTTCATGATTGGTATATGGTTTTCCCCTTGGTTGTTATTTCATATTATTGTATGTGATGGTTGTGACCCTATTTAATTAAAGTAATAAAATTGCAATTTCGTGGAATTGTTGTTTTGATCAACTCCGGTATCGTTATATATCACCTTTTTTTTGTTTTACAGTAAATTTAGCAATTTTACTAATTAAGTTTGGCTTATTCATTAATGCAGACAACCTTGCTAAACCATATTTTGACTGCTGACCATGGAAGGCGCATTGCTGTTATCGAGAACGAGGTATATTTTTTGATTTTTTATATGAACTTTGATGTCTAATTTCTTGTTCATTTGCTTTGATGTATTTAATACTTTAATATTCCCTATTTTATAGCTGTGATGTTTAGCATCTAGTAATGTCTAGATGTTCCGGTTCTGAGGAAATCCTGATTGTTTATTGATTATGTTGAAAGGCTTTTTTGTTTTCTAATTCATTGTCATTCTTGTGTTATAATTTTGTTTTCTGATAAAAAAGGAGACTGAATCCACTTTGTACTATACCAATATGAAGAGTGCTATTTTCTGTATGCCATCTGAATAGCAATTCATACTAGGCTTTTCTATTCTATGCTATGCATCAATCAAATTTGAAATGTTGAAAGAAATGCATCCTATGTATGAATTGAATTTACGAGTCTCTTTTTATGACTAAGCATTGTAATAATGTAAGTAGATGTTATTTTCGTTAAAAAATCTTTAATTTGGTTGGTACATATATTAAGGTTTAGGGTAGGGGTGTGAATGAGGATTGGCTTGAAATCGGATCGTGAATCAATCCCATTAAATTTTGATCCGATTCGGTGTGGATCGATACAATTTTCGAGCCGGGTCGAATGCAATTTTTTGCTCGTGAGCCAAATCGGTCCGGCTCGAGTCAAAAACAGTTTAGGCGTTGGGGATGTATTTTAATATTTATAGTATATCAAAAGAAACTACACGTGCACGGATGTATATACAGACATTAAATTTGTTATTAAGATCATTTGGTTTGTCTTCATAATTTATATTCTATTTCCTGTACTGAAATTTTTTTTGAAGCCATGAATTATTCTGCAAAAGGATGAGTTTTTTCTGGTTGCATCTTATTATGCGATGAATTATTCTGCAAAACAATAAGTTTTATCTGGTTGCATTTTCTATATTTCTATAATTTTTTTTTCCTTTTTCCCAAGATTCTAAAAAAACCCAAGATGAATTTTTTTCCTTTGTATAGCTACAACCGTGGAGAAAAGTGTTCTTGAAAAACAGTTTAGGCGCTAAGAGTGTAAAGTGAATTACCAGAAATTTGAGACCGAAGCAAAATGAATAACCTGGAAATTTAGCTGGATACACCTTTGATTTCACCTGGAAACTTAGGGCTTGTTTGTGATCATTTTTTTTTGTTTTTTGTTTTTATTTTTAATTGAATGCTTGTTTTTTTTGTTTTTTGTTTTTATTTTTAATTGAATGCTTGTTTGGTGCTTTTTACGTGGTTTTATTTTTTTATTTTATTTTTAAAAATTAACTTATTTTAAAAACTGAAAATAATATTTTGATGTTTTGAATGTTTTTAAAAACAGAACATGTTTTGTTTCAAAGTAAAACATATGCAAGACAAAATAATAATAAAAAATAAAAAACCTAAAAATAAAAGTGATCCCAAACGACCCTTAGTTGCTAAAAAAAGAATGCTTTTTAAGTTGAATTTGTAGATTATTTTTGATTTCTTGTTCTTAAGCTTGGCTGTTTGAGGTTGTTTCGTTCTTCACACATTGGTTGTTTTAATTACCGTTTTGCTGTGCAATTGACAGCCCATATCAAAGTTACTCATAAGTCATTTTATTTTACTAGATTGCAGTATTTGAGATGTTGCTTTCCAACCCACTTCAATTATCATGTGTTTCTATTTTCAGTTTGGAGAAATTGATATCGATGGTTCTTTGGTGGCTGCAAAAACTACTGGAGTTGAAGATATAGTCATGCTTAACAATGGCTGTCTTTGCTGCACTGTGAGAGGCGATCTCGTGAGAATGATTTCTGAGCTGGTTGAGAAGAAAAAAGGAAAATTTGATCATATTGTAATAGAGACCACAGGTAAAATATTTGTTTGGAGCTCTATGCTAACATGCGGAGTAATTATTCTTAATATTATTGTGCTTCTGTGTCATTGAGCAGCTTATTGTTTTTGCAGTTTGCTCTGGCAATGTTTCATATGAATTGAAGTTTTTTACACATTCTTTCATCTTTTTTTTTTTTCTTCGTGGTTACCGGTATCTTAATCACAGTTTATTTGTTACATCATTTTCTTTCTCCAGCTTGCATATTTGGTACAATGTCGTTTCATTGAAAGGTATATTACTATTCAAGTCTATTTCATATTTACGTTTGTAATGAAATATTACAACCCCACCTAGGAGCTTGGAATACCAAAAAGAAACGAACGGATAGATGGAGAAAGCACTTTCTAAACATTTTCATTTTTTAAATAAAAGCATTGAAAACATAAAAGTGCCATCTATTTCATAATTTTAAATTTTCAAATACACGTTTCGTCAACTTTAAACTTTTACTGCTGGAAGAAAAATAAAAAATAAATGTTGTACTTTTCTCCCTAGGCTCTTAGACGTCTGTACACACAATTTCTAGGGTTCATCTACTCTAAAGGAGGTTTTCCTAAAAATTTTTAGCAATTAGAGGTATGAGTTAAACGACTTAGTGGATAAAATGTCCCAAAATGATAATAATTTATATTTTAAAAATTCTTTATAAAAAAGGCAATAAGCAATAAAAAGAAAACAATAAATAAATTTATTTCATTTAAAACATTCATCATTGAGAGTCACCATGTAAATGCTCACTAAAAGTACACATTTCATAATCTTTCCTAATATCCATAAAAAAAGCCGACAATCATTTTAATTTCTATCTCCATTTTACTTGTACAGGCACGTTGTTTTCCTAGCCATTACTATACGGGGGTGACTATATTATATATTTTTCTTATTTTTATCTAACGTTTGTTTTAACTAATTTGAGCATATGAAAATGTAACAATTGCAGTTTAAAAAAAGTACTAAAGCAGTGGAAACATTTACAGCTGATTTTAGAAATAAAAAATAAATATTGTAAAATTAAAACATATTTATCCACATGTTCAACACATTTAATCGTTATTTCCTCAGATCAACCTTGCCATTTGGTGTACGCATAATGACACATTGACTATGATTAACTTCTATTCATTTTGGTCATTATTTCATGTTAATTCTAACTTTACTATTATTATTATTTATGAATATTTAGATACATTCATTTGCAATTTATTAATTGTGTGTGTGTGTGTGTGTGTGTGTGAAGATTTAAGTTACTTCCTCGATTTAAATTACTTCCTCCTTTGAAGTTTAGAATTAAGTTCATTAACATTATGTCACGCTTAATTTGAATTTATTTCATTCATTTATATTAATAAGCAGATTAAATTATTACAAAGTAAACAGTTAATTTTCAGCTTTTTTTATTAGATACTTTCCCTAACATTTCTTTTAACATGTTTGAATTTGGAGCATCCTAATTTTAGTTTAAACCTAGGGTTTTTTAGAATCTAATTTACTATCAATACGAATTTATTAAGAAATCAGAAATTAATTTTTAAAATTTAACATTATACCTGAATTTTTTTTTCTCAGCGGATTCTCTTTTTCTGATTTTTGTCTCCTCCCAAATCTAGCAAAATTTAGAAAAATTCAGCTTTAAGGATCCTAAAATTTCTCCTAATTTTCACAAAAAATGGTAAAACACAACAAACTTAATTTTTTGATTAAATATTCTTCCTTAAGAATGGAAATAACTATTACTTGTTGGCTATTGTATCCTTGCGTCCAAAGCATAAAGTTGTTTGCTCGAGCGGCTTAAGTTTGTGGGAAAGATTCTCGCTTCAGCTGCTCCTGACGTAATGTCCAAATCTACGCCCATCAGCCTGGCATGGCATTGCTCCAGTCCAGATCTTCCAAGCAACCAACAACCTTCTTGGACTCCCTCCAGTGGACTACCAGCATAGTCGCTCCAACATTATCCTTACCGGGACTTTCCCGCTTCATTAGAGGGGACCGTTCCTATCATTATGTTATCTTTTTTATTATTTCTGCTGTATTTATTTGTTGTTTTATGTTTTCTATGCGTGTGTTGTTTTGCCAAAGAGTCATCGTTGTACTTCCTTGATTACAAGAATAAAATAGGCATTCGAGTCATGGTTTGGGTTAACTCTGGTATCATCTGGTATTAGAGCTATCCCAAACCTAGTCCTATGCTAGGATTCCCTACTATCCACTCCCACCCAATCCACCAAAATTTTTTTTATATCCTCTCTTCTTTTTCTCTTCCCTTTGTTCCTTTTCTTCATGTCTTCTCCTCCTTCCTTTTCTTGTCTCTTCCCTTAAACACTTCCAATCATGCCGCCACGTCGATATGCGTTGGTACCAACCCGAGAAGAAATACAATAAGAGATCCGTTTCTTACAACAACGATTGACTGAGTTGGATGACGGGACTCAAGGCGACATTACTCTCGACCGTGAAATTGAGAGTCGAAGAGAGATCGCGACGAAGACGTAAATCTGTTTCATCGCGATGACATTAGCAATGACGAATATCATCCACGCGGCTTTGGAATTCATTGTCACAGGAGATCACGAGAGTAGCTCACGCTCGGGGTTTTCGACATTAAAACGGACCTACCGGAATTGGATGGAATCATGGACCCCGATGACTTCATGATTCCGTCGATCGAACGCATCTTTGACTACAAGGAGGTATCCGAGGACAAACATATTAAGCTTGCCTCTATCAAACTAAAAAAAAAAGCGCTTTGTTATGATGGGACAACTTGCAACGACAACAACAATGCGACGGGGATGACAAGATCACTAAATGGGCGAAAATAAAGAAGGCTATGCAAAAAAAACAAAAAAACCTGCTGCCTCACCGTCACCACGATGTGTTCCTCTGACTGCACAACCTATAACAGCGTCATCTCTCGGTCAAGAAAGTCACAACACAATTCAATCATCTGCAGATGAAGTGCGGCCTGGTTGAGCAAGAGGAGCACACAATCGCTTGTTATCTTTGAAGTTTAAAGCCCGCCGTTAGCAACATTGTCCAACTTTAACCATACTGGATGCTAAACGATGTTCAAACCATTGCATTAAAAGTGGAATGATAGCAGAAGCAAGTCAAATCTCAAAACTCCTTCCAACAATCGACATACAAACCATCACCTTAAATCATACCTACCAACAAAACCAAATCATAAGCTGACAAGTCACTACCAAGAAGTATGAAAACCACCCTGAGCGACATTAAACACGAGAAGATCCTCTGGGACAATTCCTGCACGAAAATGTTTTAGGTGCCTCTGGTACGACCACATCGCTGCCAATTGCCTCACCACTCGCGTTATCTCATTTACTGAAGACTGCATCTTTGAGGAAGTCGAGCAAGTCGAGGAAGCCCAATTTGAAAATGGTTTGGAAGAAGTATTGCCCCTCCCTGAAGACGAAGACAAACTATTTGTCATACGAGGGGTCCTCCAGTCAGAACCCGAAAGAAACCATTCATGGCTACAACACATCTTTCATACTACATGCACATTCAAAGGAAGAATCTACAGTTTAATCATCGACGACGATAGGTGTGAAAACGTTGTCTTCACCCTAACGGTCAAGAAGTTAGATTTTTAAAGACAAAAACATCCATGGTCCTACTCTCTTACCTGGTTCAAAAAAGGGTACGGGATTCACGTTGATCAACAATGCTTAGTCGAGTTCTCCATTTTCAATCAACTACAATAACAACTTTGGTGTGATGTAGTCTCTATGGACGTATGTCACATTCTTCTCAAGAGACCATGACAATTCGATAGAAAAACACTGCATGACAGTTTCAAAAAGACCTACACATTCAAAAAGGATGGAAAACGCTTCATGTTGCTTGTGAAAGATGCGAGGGCTACAATTGACACCGAAAACGCATTAATCTCACGCGCCAGCTTCCTACAATCAGTTTGTGATGCACCAATCACCAGCTCTGGTCCTCCTAGAAGATACCAACAAGGATAATAAAATGCCCCCACAACTTCAAACACTCATGCACCACTTTCAAGACGACATGACAAACGATCTCCCAAACTGGTTACCCCTATTACGGGACATCCAACATGCCATCGACCTCATGTCATGGTCGGCCCTACCAAATAGACCTACCTACTGACTGCGACCCACAGAGTTTAAGGAACTCCAACGTCAGGCAGGGGATCTTGTTAAGAGAGGATTGGTACGCGTAAGCACTAGCCCATGTGCCGTCCCCGTCCTGATAGTACCCAAGAAAGATGGCTTATGGCAGATTTACATTGACATTCATGCCATAAACAAAATTACAATCAAATATCACTTTCCCATACCGTGACTCGATGATCTTTATGATTAGTTGTACCGTGCCACCGTTTTCTCAAAATTGACCTATAGAGTGGTTATCACCAAATCAGAATGCAACCGGTAGACGAGTGTAAAATCGTCTTCACGGCACGAGACGACCTTTATGAATGGACAGTCATGCCTTTCGGCCTATCCAACGCGCCCAACACCTTCATGCGCCTAATGAATCAAGTTCTTCCAGCTCATTTTGGGAAATTCGTGCGGGTCTACTTTGATGTTATTTTGGTTTATAGTAAATTTGTAGAAGACAACCTAAAATCCATGCGAGCGATATTCGAGGTCTTACGATCCAAAAAACTGTACGCCAATCGCAAGAAGTGTCACAAACTAAATCTGTTTTTTGGGCTACCATGTGTCTAACACAGTGATACTAAGGGACCCAACAAAAAATGAGGCAATCATAAGCTGGACAGCGCTGCAATTTTTTACAGTGCTTCGTCAATTTTTGGGGCTAGCTTCCTACCGAAGATTTATTCGCAACTACAACATTATCATCGTCCTCCTAACAGATTTGTTGAAACAGAAAAATTTCACATGGATCGTCGCTGCCCAGACCAACTTCGACATCTTGAAGGAAAAGGTCACTCCAACCCTAGCTCTTGCTTTACCTGATTTCTACCAACCATTTGAGGTCGAGTGTTATGCTTTTGGCGTAGGCATCAACGTTGTACTAAGTCAAGGTGGTCACCCAACCTATTTTAGCACAAAATTAAATGAGACTTGATGAAAATATTTGATAATATTTCACCTACGACTAAGAATTTTATACCATGGTTAGAGCTCTGGAACAATTGAGTCATTACCTACTTACCATGAAGTTCATTCTATTCACGGATCATGAAGCTCTAATATTTTCAAACAATCAAAATAGAGTCAAAGGGGTCACATAATATGGGTAAAATTTTTAGCGTTCTTCCAATTCGTACTCAACCACAAAGCCAAAAACCAGAACCGTGTTGCGGACACTCTGAGCCATCGTCACTTTCTAATCAAATCCTTGTAGGCGAACATCGTAGGCTTTAAAGTTTTAAATTGTATGAGCCGCCGTCACCTTTTCATTCTTGCTCAATCCAAATTTGTCTGTAATAGATCAACAAGCTAGACCACAGGACACACGCCATTCAAAATTGTGTACGACCGCAACCCAACCACACCCTTTGAGTTGATCCCACTTTTACCTTCAACAGAGATCAGTTAGAATGCTACAGACGTGCTTACCAAATTCAACAACTCCTCGAGGAAGTTGGGAAAGCAATTTCTAAGCAAAACCACAAATATCAAACCCAAGCAAACAAGTCTAGGAAAAATGTAACATTCTAAGAAGGTGACCTCATGTGGATCCACCTAAAGGAGCGATTCCCGAGAGGAGCTTAAAAGCAAACTGAAGCCTCGAGCCGATGGGTCTTTTCGCATTAAAAAAAAACTGAACGACAACACATACAAAATTGGCCTACTAGGAGACCTCAAAATTTCAGCAACATTCAATGTCGCGAATCTCTCCCTACTACAAGGAACCAAAAACTTCGATAGATGAGGTCGAAACTCCCTCAACCAGGGAATTGTGTGGGTTTGTGCAAATCCACGCCTTCAACCGGGCGTGACATTGTTATGGTCCAGTTGCTGGACCAGATCAGCCCGCGACATTAAAATGCCGATTCATCTTAATTGCCCCCCTACTCTCCATCCTGCATTTCATGCTCCACTCGCCTCCTCCCCCCGTGCCCTAATATTTCGCCTCCTCATCTTATTCCTTCCACTCTTCAACTCTTTCCTTCTCAAGATCTTTCCTTTGCGGTCATCTCTCCCTTCCCTATTTTTGCTTGTTATTTCTTGGTCAAGATAGTTTTTTTGCTTGCTGATTTTTTCTGTTTCAGGTGATCCTCCTGGCTGTTTTTCCCCATTTGGGTTGTATCTTTTGGCCTAGTGGTGCTACGATTGTATCTTGCCAAGGTGGTGTTTATCCCCGCCCCGCTTTCCACTTTCAGTGCTTTCCAGTTTCCACCCGTTTCTTCGGACCCATCCCGCATGCCACTGACACTGTTGCCACTCCTGTTAGTTCACTTCCAGGTCCCCTGCTCCCTTCCTAGCTGCTGCCAGGTCCCCCGCTCCCTTCCTAGCTGCTGCCAGCACTGCTGCCAACACTGTTGCCTACTCCGACTCCCTTCTAGCAGATGCCGACCCAACAGCGTCCAGTCACCTGTCTGGATCCATTCAGTAGCCACCAGGCTTCTCGGACTCCCTCTAGTGGACAACCGGCACTGCCGCTCCAACGTTATCCTTACCAAGACTAGTTCACTTCATTAGAGTGTTCCTATCATTGTGTTATCTCTTTTATTATTCTTGTCATATTTATTTGTTGTTTCTTATTTTACATGCTTGTGTTGTTCCGTCAAAGAGTCATCGTTGTACTTTCTTGATTATAGAAATAAAATATGTGTCATTCGAGCCATGGTTTGGGATAACTCCAGTATCACCGAGAGCTTAGAAGGCTCGGTTGAGTGTCCCTACGAGCCGCACGAGCCTCTCTTGCTCGTGGAAATGCATGGTTAGCTTGTTCGAGTGTCTTCCGCATGCTCTTTTCCCCCTTCCTTGCTTGCAGCCTATCAAAGATGTAAGAGGAAGCTCACTTGAGCCGATCGGTCGCTCACCTCCTCCTTTCTCGTTTCATGAACCTTCAATATTGTCGTTTCTCTCGCGGGGTCTTCCATGTGACGGGAGGAAAGGATGGCTGGTAACCTCTCCCTCGATTCAATCTCACCCACCCTCCTTCTTTTGCTCGCTCTCACTCACGCGTCTCGTGCGTTCAATTTGTGCGGAAAGAAGGAATGAGGGATGAGGGCCCTCGTTAAAGCTCTTGCACATGGTGCAGTTTCCCGCCGAATGACACTTGCAAAACAAGTAAATTTTTTTATTAAGTTAATTAATAATTAAAAGTCATTGTCACTGCCTGGTCAGATGCCTCAGATGCGAAAGGTAGAGGGCTGTGTTAGGTGGTTGATAACTAGCGTAAAAAAATTGTCGAACTATTATTTGAATCCATAAGTTGGTGGTGAAACCTACATTGCTTTGTGGCGCAAAATGTTGGCTTATAGAGAGAAGCATAATATTAAGTTAAGTGTTGCTAAGAAGAGAATGCTTAAGTGGATAAGTGGTTTTACACTAAGAGAAAAGATGCGGAACAATATATTTGTGAATGGGTTGGAGTAGCTACTATGGCAGACAAGAGAGAGAGTCGCCTTAGATGATTTGGTCACATTAAACGTCAAGCATCTTGTTGGGAGAGTAGATATTTTAGATTTGACTTATGCTAACAGCGGTAAAGGTAGACCTAAAAAGGCTTGGGCATGTTGTATAAAAAATGATCTTAATTTGTTAGAATTAAATGAAATTATGATACTCAATAGGTCACAATGGAGAAAATGGTTCATGTAGCTGAACCCACTTAGTGGGATAAAGGCTTGTTGCTGTTTTTATTGTAATTAATAATTAAAAGATGCTTATTACATGGAATTACGAAGCTCACAGTGGTATTAAAGATTGTGAACGAGTGATTTAGTGATTATGAAATTTAGATTTGGTCAGCAGATTTATACTTATTGGAAGGGTTTACTATTTGCATTTCGTAGTTGTGTTGCTTTTAATTTGTTTTCTGTTTCACATCTCTTTACGTATGGATTTAAAAAGAAATTACTTGTGTTCTGTGTACTATGGATCATCCCATCTGTTAACGTAGGGAATGACTGTTTACTTTTATCATAGAGATTTACTAGATTGAAAAGTTATTAATTAGTAAAGATTTCAACTTTATTATGTAATATATTATCTTTACTCTGAGTATTTTTACTATAATTTCTATTTCCTTTCCATCATTTATATTGCCATCCTTTGCATTTGCATATATACATGTAGTAATTCTATAGTGAAATGTAGTAATTCTTTTTCTTGATTGCTTCAACGGTCTGCATGCAATTCTCCTATTACTCTTTTATATGAAGTTTTTGCTAAGTAGCGTTTGTTACACTCCTTGACAGGATTGGCTAATCCATCACCTATTATTCAGACATTTTATGCTGAGGATAAGATTTTCAATGATGTCAAGCTGGATGGTGTCGTTACTCTTGTTGATTCTAAGCATGCTGGAATTCATTTGGATGAGAAAAAACCTGATGGAGTTGTAAATGAGGCAGTTGAGCAAATTGCATATGCAGATAGGATTATAGTGAACAAGGTAAACATTGTGCGCCTAATTTTTACAAAGCTTAGTGTTATTCAGTGCACTGTTTTATGAAATCCAGGTTTGCTTTGTAACCATTTGTCGGTCAACTTTTTCGATTGATTATTTGAAAATATGGATATATGAAAATAATTTTTTGAGATTTAATTTAAGTATAAAAGATATATATAGTTTGAGTTTTAAAAGTAGTATGTTTTAATTTTTGAAAAATAAGACCAAATGAATCTCATTAGTCCAATAGTTTGCATAATCGTGCCCGATACCGCGAATATTATACTCTCCCGAAAGATAAGTGTAGACCTCGGCGATAGACCCAATCCTGCAAACTAAGAGATTTGTGACATCCGTTTGGTCTGCGAACCTTTTATGTATGACCGACAAGTTCCCCTATTTAATACAAAGATTAAATAAAGTTTATTTTATCTAGGTTCCAAGTTCCCTATCGAGGCAAGCCCTATAGTTAATTACATCCCAAATGACGGGAAACACTCGAGAAAACTCTCGATAATGATCAATGGTTCTAATCTTCAAGAATTCAAGTCAAGAATTCAAGGTTTAAGCATTTGTGGTGGGTGGGTGGGAGGTTTCGTTGCTTGTGTAGCCAAAGGAGTAGGCGATGTCGTGAGGAGTCCAAAGGAAGGAGAAGGAAGGAGAAGGTAGAGGATGTCATAGATCCTGAGGAGAAACCTCAGTGACATCCCAGAATATCCTACGGTGTGGCTACGTTTTTTTGGGGATGATGTTAATTAATTGTATGATCCTGCCAGTTTTATTATTTGGGACTTACGCTTGCATAATACCTGATTATGCAAATAGCCCACAGAGATATGAGGGTTTACATCGTACCGTACGACAACCTCGGAACCTAAGTTGAGTTAGGACTCATGTCACACAACATGGTTGTACAAGACCCTAAAAAGGGAGTGTGAGGATTTACGTCGCGCAAGGCGAGCTACCTCGAAGTCCTATGAGTTATTATTATACTAGGAAGAGATAATGCTGAATAAGAAATTCTTGTTGCTCGCTCCAAGCTCCTCGTCGTGCTGCCCACAAAGTTGGCTCTAAGCTCTTGTCGTCGCGATGACTCCATGGTTTAAGTGTTTGAAAATTGTACTTTATGTTTCACAGTTTTGGTGTCAAAATTTGGTTTTGCATGCAAAATGAGTAGATTGCAGGTAAATAAAAAAAAAATAATTGAAAAGTAAAGTGTAGTAAAGTAAAATGTAGATAAACTGTAAAAGCATACCTGACATCTGCTACTATTGTGTTATTAGTGTTGCGAGTGTAGTGTGATTTGCAACATTATTTAAACATACTTGCAAGAAAAATAAATAAAGCAAGAAAACCCAGCATGAAAGTCATAAAAACAAGTAGTGAAAATCACAGGCAAAAGAAACATATAACCACATATGAAAGATCAGAACTGAGTATAAGACATTGGTAAAAGTTGGGGCTCAGAGCTGGGCTGTGTGCTTCCCGGTCTTGAGTAAGAGTTGCCAACTCGACAATCTACAGGAGGTAGTTATTAACCTCAATCCAAATGAAGTGACTAGCTGTGGACCTTTATAAATTTTCATACAAAAATTTTCATGCAAAAGTTATTATTTAAGTCTTTTTTATGAAGAATTCTTTTAATCATGCAAAAGAAATCATTGTTTTATTTTTTATAAATATTTTGTAAAGTCGTACAGTCCACAGATTAGTCACTCTAATCGTGCTAAAACTACTGACAACCTAAGAGTATCGGGGGCAACAATCCCACCAAGGGTCGGCGAATAGCATCCTCGATCCTTTCCTCTCTCTTATAGAAGGTCCTCGAGGTAGGAGATACTATTCTAATAATCTCACTTCGTATCCCTTGTTTAAGCACACATAAGTAATGTCGTCATTGCCCTCACCACCTATACCCTAGACTTATCATAGTCCGATGATCCATATGCGGCGTTAAGAAATTTTCCCAATTGCCAGGAATATTTGAATGTAATATTCAAGCTCAAATCCCGGTGCACTGGGTTTTATTGTAGATTAAATCATTGAGGGAATTTCACTGTTGATTTAATTAAGGAAGCATGGGTCACGTCTCGGTGCATCATGTCTAGTGTCTTAGTCAGTTTGTGAATTAGGGTGAAGTGTCTAGTTTCACTGTGCATTCGATGATTAGGTGAATAGATTTTTACTTAAGGTATGCTCCTAAAACTTTAGGAGGTTATATTGCAGAGATTAGGTAGATGGACTCTCACCTAGAGTGTGCTCCTAAAGTCTAGGGAACCTACACTGAGGATTAGGTGGATGGGCTCTCACCTAGGGTGTGCACTTAAGCTCTAGAAAGCCTACACTGAGGATTAGGTGGATGAGCTCTCACTTAGGGTGTACACCTAAAGTCTAAGAGGTCTTCATTGAGGGCTAGGTGAATGAACTCTCACCTAGGGTGCGTGTTTAAGCTCTAGAAAGCCTACATTGAGGATTAGGTGGATGAGCTCTCACCTAGGGTGTACAACTAAAGTCTAAGAGGTTTACACTGAGGACTAGGTGGATGGATTCTCACCTAAGGTGTGTGCTCCTAAAACTCTAAGAAACCTACTCTTTAACTTATGCTTAAGGTGATTTAAGGTTTTCTATATCTTCCAATTAATTAAATCATCAATCCTCGTCTTTATGACTTAACCATTTAAAAATAAACAAAGCAAAATAAGAAAACGGTCGACCCACCTCTAAAACTAGCAAAGCCGAATGGGGGAAAACAACAAATGAATCGACCTAAAAAAAAAAACGTTTAAATGATAATTAAGTAAAACCCAAAACAGTAAATATAACTATCAAAATTAGCCTCGAAACAGTAAATATAGTCATCAAACTCAACCCCAAAACCGTAAGCAAAACTCTCAAAATCAGCTCCAAAACAGTGTCAAAATGGTGCCCAAACGGTGCTAAAACTATGTCAGCATTAGCCCACGCGATGCCCCCAACAACACAACCACGTTCCAAATAATACCAAATAACTCTCACAACACTCCAAAAGCTCTCACAGCGCTTACAACAGTTTTATTATCACCGAACAACATTTATATAGGCCCAAACAACGACTACAACACCCAAGCAACGACCTATAACAGTTTCTAAGCTCCGACAACATTTATAACAGCTAACAGCTCCCCCAAACAGCCATCTATAAGAATGGACAGCACAAACCACTACGTACAACAGCTATACAACAGCTAACGACTATCTTCAACAGTTAAATAACTACATACAACAGTCCAAATCTTAATTTCAACATCCAAACATTAATTTCAGACTCTCTACATCACTCCAAACATTAACTCCAGCAATTGTAAGTTAACTACAACACTCATATGACCCCGAACAACAACTACAACACCCGAACAGCAACTACAACACCCAAACAGCTTCTATATGAATTCGAACATCAACTTCATGGGTCTAAGCAACAACTACAGCACCCAAACAGCCATCATAAGCTTCCAATCAGGTCTAAACAGCAATTCTAAACATCCGAGCAGCACCAAACGACCATTTTAAGCTCCCAATCAGCGCCAAACCGACACCTAAAGTGGTTCTAAGACAGCACGTAAAACAACTCCAAACGACATATGTTAAGCCATCAAATCGGCGGAAGTGTAGGGCGAAGATCAGTAAAAACAACAAGCTAGAATGCCATCTCGATCATTTTTCAAGATAACAATAATATCGATTCACTGAGCAAGAAAGGTTAAATGAAGATTTGCGCGCATACCCCACAATTCGTATATTAACATTTTCAACACTTAAAACTTTATAAATTTACAGGAACCAATTTATCCTTATCACATTAAAAAAAAAAAAAAACTGTCAACTTAATTTTTAAACAGTGAAACACACTTTTTTCATGCATAGGTTTAAAATACCAAAGTGCATTTCATGTAAATATTAAATTTCAAGTGTGAGATATGTAAATACATAATGTTAGTGTGCTAGGTATATAAATGTCCCCCAAAGAAAGATATAAAGCATAAAAATGAGCTAGAGAAGTGTTAAATCAGTCATTGAGTCAAGTCCATCTCAACATTGGTTGATAAAGTTTATATTCAAAAGTTTAAACAAACCCTTAGCTTTGATGCAGGTTTAAATTTAAATACATTTAGCTTTGATTTAAGGTTAAGGTTGAATACGTTTAAAATTCTGTTTAGCTATTTAAATTTAAATAGAACTTTAGCTTTGACAAAACAAATTCATCATTCTTTTCATCGAAATTTGCATCCAAACTACGTAGAGAGGATAGTTAAATCTTGTACGCAGTTATTGAAGAATAATGGTAGATTTACATGCATAACACATAAAAACATATATACATTTACATATCTAATATTCAAACTTTAATTTTGACATACTTATTTCTTTACCTTTTTTTTATTTATATAGAAAAAGGAGTATTTTAACTGGAAAGGATAGGCAAATGTATTATCCTATTGCAACAAATTTTGTGTGAAAGTTTCAGGTGTTAGACATGCAAACGCACATGAATTGAGTGGGCATGTACACAAATCTTCTTATATGAATTGTATTGTATAAATAAGATAAGCAAACATGGGAATAAAATAAGACTTCATTGCCCGATTATTGCAATTGCTGAGGTTCTGTTCTCCAAGCGTTTCCACGGCTCGAGGAAATCGTGTTCCCTTGCTACCTCTGATTCGGGTGAGACAGGCGAGTGAAAGAGGGTCGGCCGAGCAATACTCCGAGAGAAGAGGAGGCGAAGGAGGCGAAGCAGGTGAATGAGAGTTTTGGTGTCGAGCAGCAGAGGCGAGCCGGGCGGGAGGAGAGGATCTCGTTCGCTGCAGAGGAAGGACAAGTGATATGCGGCTTCGGTGCGGGAGACGGGATTGGGCAAGGAACAAGTTTCTTCGGCGCAGAAGGATCGCTGGAAGGAAGTCCTGTCGAGTGAGGGAGATGAGCAGGAACTAGCGGGGATTTCGTTTGCTGCCGAGGAAGGAGACGAGCGAGAGCAGAGAATCTCGTTTGCTGCAGAGGAAGGAGACGAGCGAGAGCGGAGGATTTCGTTCGAATCAAAGGCAGCCAGCCGAGGTTCTCGTGAGCGAGAAAGAAATAGGTCTGCTAGAGAAAGAGCCGTTACGGGACAACATTGACGGGGAAATTAAATACCTTCCTTGCGCAGAGGAGGATTAAATGGAAAAGAATTAATCTTCATTATTTCAGATTATGATGTAATTAATGATATATTTGAAATTTGAATTTTGAAATTTGAAATCTGTGGGCTGAAGTAATTAGCTCGGGCTTAGGCCATATCCAGCACAAGTCAAACTCGAGTTGAACCTGGGTTCAGCCCGGGTTCGCTAAAAAAATGCATCGATTTCCGTGTCATTTATGCGCGTGTGGAACCACAACAATATGGGTGTCTTTTCTAGCTAAAATCAATGTTCCGGACGCGTCGGCGCTGTCCATTTCATCATTCGGGGTCGTCTAGACGAGTTTGCAGGCGGGTAGTCGATTTAAGCCAAAATTGTGTGTGGTGCAACGAGTGCGTTGCTGAGTCACCGAGGGTTTACTTAAGGCCGTATGATCCTGTAGGAACTTATTTTCGGGCCCTCTACATGCTGGTCCTTAGCCTTTGCAACTAGAAGTTGAGTGCTTGGAATCACTCATGCGAGTTCTTCACAAAAAAGAGTAAAGAAGCGGTTTGAAGTTCTACGGGAGATGGGCTCCATTACTAGTCCGCTAGGATGGTCAACAAGGAACTCCTAAGGCTAGATTATGGGTTCTGGGAGTAGGAGACTAAGACCTCACTAAAATGAGGTCAACACCATTATGAACTGTTATAACTTTTATGTTGCATTAATTAACGTAAAATATACAAACGGAAATTTCTTAGTTAACAACATGTTTTTCATACTTCTCTTATGAGAGCATGCTTGATGCTTTATATTATTTATTAATTTCCCTGTGCTATTTAAGCCTTTAATGAGCTTCATCATCATTATTTTCCCCATCCTAATGGACTTCTTGAGGCCGTCCCTCCTTACATTCGGATATTGTTTGGGTTGTTGAATTTATTTTGCCTGAATCGTTACAATTTCAATTCATGCTACTTTTAGTCTGCCTTTTTATTCCGTGACCTTTCCCCATTATTTTTAACTGCTTGAATTATTTGTGTTTCTTCTATCCTCCATCAAACACACTGAAATCACTTGGTCTTTTCTTTTAACTTTCTTATCTTCAATAGATACTAATTTGTAGTCTCTGAAAATTGTCCATCTAACCTTAATATTTTTGCTATGCATCTGAACAATTTTATTTCAGCCACAATCACTTTGGCTATCATTGACTTCTTTATTGTCCAAAACTTAACTCATATAGACATCATCGGTTTGATTTTAGTTTAATAAAAGTCTGTTTTAGGTTTCCATGATTTTCTCTTTTCATTTGAATTCCTAAGACAACTTTCCATTTTGACTAACTTTAGCTATAGATGTTTTATGGTCATCTAGATTTTTTTTTTCTAATAGGGTGCAAAACTTGTTAGACTTGGATATCACTTGGTCATATATTATATTTGCTAATACTTATTGATTTCTAACTGGTAAATTTACATATCATATATGAAAATTTTGTTTCACTCCTCTCCTTATCTTTCATGCATTTCTTCCAATTGTTTTCACTTTATTTACTTTTTTCAGTAGAGGTTTCACTATACATGATAACGCTATTCGCGTAGAGCATATACCTTAGCTCTTTATTTTGAATGCCTATTATAATCATTTTTATATTTAATACAATAAGATTCAATCTTGTTATTGATCATAATGTATTCTAACTATGATGATGAAGTCTTTGGTCTCTGCTTGACTACCTTCAAAGCTGTCCTCGTCATAGATATTTTTAATAATTTCAACATATTTTTGTTGCAATTTTTTTTTTGGTTCACCAAACAAATTCTTGTGTTCAGTAAGAAAAATCCTAAGAATTTTCTTTCTTTGCTCTTTATGTGTTTTTTTTCAAATTTTTTGAACATAAATTGCTTCTATTATATATCTCCTTGGCATAAGGTTGATTAAATTTTTTATTCAAATTTGATCGTCTTAAACATATGTTCAATTGTACTCTCTCATAACTCTATTGATCTTCACTGTTACATTGTGACTTTTCTTTGTCATAAAATAAAATTAACCTTAGCTTAGTGTGATGCATGTAATACTGATGAATTTTTATACCTTTTCTATGATTCTAAAAAACCTCATTTTCTATCTTACACTGATTTTTAAATGTACAAATTTTCTGACATTTCAAACTCCTATAATTATATTAAACATCGTAACAAGGATTACTTATGCAATCTTAGTCCATGACTCCTAATTCTCTCCGAACATTTATATTTGTCTAAGCCTTTCTTGATGAGCTATGGTGCCCTGCTGATATTTATTCAAGTAAAATAAAGCATTGCGGAGATTGTTTCAGAATTTATTGGCGTTACACATCAGTCCTCCTTTTTCTTTCTTGAAGATTGATAAAATTTCATAGCATAATTTGTACTCTGCCCCCCTTCAACGACTCTTATTTTGATTGCAACAGACTGACCTTGTGGGCGAGCCGGAAATCTCTTCCTTGGTCAAGAGAATAAGGGTATGCAGACCAACTTAGAGGTCTTTACCATACAGGCGCCTATTGAGTTTACTACTAGTTGATTTCCTTTATGATGAAAACAGAATATCAATACCATGGCTGATTTGAAGCGAACTTCATATGGTAAAGTTGATCTGGATTATGTTCTTGGCATTGGAGGCTTTGACTTGGAAAGGTACCTCTCCTTTTATATACCCAACCTTCTTAGTTGTCGTTCTGCTTTATGGGATTGTGAAGTTCAATTTATTGTCCTAAAGAAATGAGAACTTGGTATTTTTAGCATTTTCACAAATATCTAAATATCTCGAAAGCTGTTCTACATTTACTTTCTTCATACAGATTTTTCCTAGTATGGAAAAAGATAATTCTTTTCATTGTAATACAGGTTAATGATTATTTAAATAGGTTCACTTGGCTTGAAAAAAATGACTTTGCTCATAAGGATATTTTTCTTCCACGAGTTTTGCTTAAAGTGAATAGTTAAATTTCATATGAATTGTAGGTTGAAGTTGATGGCTCAAAGAGATTTCCTGATTTTATGCATTAAGATAAACGTCTCTAGGATGTTCAGTTTCCTTTCATGGCTGCCTTTATCCCTCAATTGATTTGTCATTGGTACTGTTTACCGCTGGTTGAGTGCCTGGGATTTATGACCAAATAATGTCTCATTAAGCTGACTAGTTTTCATTCAGTGAATTCAAAAAGCCATTTATTTGAATAAATCTTTCTGTTATATAAATACACGGTCTATTGCTATTTTATTTAAGAGTTGTTTGTTTCTCCTTCAGTCATCATATCTTTTCTATCACATCATAGGCAATGCAGAGGCATGTGACTTTTCTTGCTAAGTCAGTTTTGTTTCTCGTTGATTCAAGGACTGTATTCTTCTGCACAGTGAGAACTACACCATCTATTTGTTTTCATTATTTCTAAAGATTTTATTACAGGAGATCATGGAAATCTATCGTGGTTGGAAAGTTTCATAGTGAGCAAGATCAGCCATGTTAGTTTTTCTAAAATAAAGCTATTTTTAAGGCAAACCTATAAAACTAACATTAACGGAAGTTTCATGTTTTTTCATAAAAAAAATAATGGCAATAGAAGCCTAGAAAAGAGTGCAGAAGAGCAAGGAAAAAAAAAACATTAGCCTTGGAAGAAAAACCAGGAAAATGCAGCATGTTAAGAAATACAGGCGATAACTGAATAATCTGCAGATAAAGGGAGCAGTAGCTGATCAGCAACTAAAAGATGAACGGAAATGAGATACAAAATGTGGCAGAAAACATAGAAAAAACAGAAGCTATCCGATAAAAAAAAACGCAGGTAAGTCTCCACATTTTTGTTGACCACCTTCTTCTGACCATCTGTTTGGGGATATGTTGTGCTTTTCTTAAGGACTATTCCTTGTAATCTGAATAACTTCTTCCAAAATTGGCTGAGGAACACATTGTCCCTGTCTGATACCATGGATTACGGTACTCCGTGCATATGTACCACTTTCTTTATGAATTCCTTCGCGACTGAGGCCACATTATAGAGGTGTTGTAATGGAATGAAATGTGCGTATTTGCTAGGCGATCCACTAACGCCAAGATCACCGTAAATCCTTCTGATCATGGCAACCCATCTATAAAGCTGTAGTACCCTTCCTGGCGCCATGGCCAAGTACAGGTGTCGTTGGCACGCATTGCATCTTGCCACCATGTACTTTGCGCATCCCCACCCAATAAAACTCCGTCGAGAGACAATTATGTCTTATATACCCTCGAGTTTTCCCTAATTGCACTGTCGTGAAACTCCTGCAATAATTTGGGGATATATTCAGATGCGCTCAGGCACTCGAACCACCCTTAGTAGATTAGCTATTGCCCTCTCAATACATATCCTGGATGCTTCGATTCCTGTAGCAACCATGCCTGTATTTTCCTCAGTCCTTCGCCCTTCTCACTCTCCCATCTCAGGCTTCCCATTTAGACCGAAGGTACTGATAATGCTATCAGCTGTGGTCCTCCACCTTTCTGGATAGTGCATCTGTAGCTTTATTTTCCAATTCTAGCCGGTACTGAATCTCAAAATCATTTCTATAGCTTTATTTTCCAATTCTATCCCGACTATAAAGTGTCGCCCCAACATTTACGACCGCTACTTTTGAATGCCCAAGATAATAGCCGTCAACTTCCACTTGCATAGGACTTGGGCCTTGCTCTAGCGGTGAGCACCTGACTGATGTAGTGAATGAACCATTGGTTCTGTATGAGTATTGCTCCTATTCCGTACCATGGTGCATCCATTTCTACGACAATTTGTCTACCAAAGTTTGGAAGTGCTAATATCGGAATGCTGATCACGATTCTTTTCAGATGTTCGAAGACTTGTTTCGTTGCTTTCCCTTACTTGAAATTATCTTTCTTCAGCTGCTCCTTCAGTGATCATGTTATTGTGCCATACTCTCTCACAAAATTTTGGTATTATCCGATGAGGCCTAGAAACCTTTTCAACTCCTTCAAACTCTTGGGTAAAGGCCAACTCGACGCTTTGACTATCCCACCTTTTGTTATATCTATGTTTTTTGAACTTTCTGCGCGTGAGTTATTTCTGGATTATATCTATGTACCGCGCGAGTTATTTGTGAGTTATCTCCGGGTTATATCTATGTAATTTGAACATTTTGCGCTTGTGTTATTTCTGGATTATATCTAGTTCCACGCATGAGTTATTTGTGAGTTATATTTATGTGATTTGAACTTTCTGCGCAGGTTATTCAGTGAACCGAACGTGGGTTATTCCTAGATTATTTCTGGGTTATCCTTAGGGTATTTTCAATGGTCTGGGCAAGTTCTTCAGCGGAAACACGTGCGAGCTATTTGTTGGTTATTGTGAGGTCATCTCTAGGTTATTTCCACATGCAACCTAGCTGTTTAGCCAAACAATTCTGACTTATACAGTGAGCACTAGAGAATGCAACGACTTGAATTAAATTGAACTTGGAGTATGGAAAGAAATTTATTACCATATCCATGTTAAACAAATGAGCTGGAATCAATATCCAGATATACCTCTAAAATTAAAGAGAAAGTTGACAAAATGGTAGCCAAAACCCTATCTATTTCAATCAGATTGACAAAATTGTGCCCGGATATACATATACAGTCAAACATCACAAATTCAATCAAATTTACACAAATATATAGTCATATACATAATTTAATTAGTCAAAAAACACAAATTTACAAATCTCGTATGCAAGCTCTGCCCTAAATCAAGGCATCTCAGCCTGTCAATCTAATAAATCCTTTCAATTGACTCTCTCTGTCTGTGCAATTGTCTCCATATATTTATATACAAAAACACCACAGTCGATGCTATTACTTTGTGTAGGAACGTCTCTGATTCTTGAAACATGCCATTTTTTTGGGTCAGACAAAAAAGCTGCCTCGGCGTCGTTTACAAGATGTTTAATATGTAAATGAAGATCTTAAATTAAATCAGTGAAAGCGCAAATAATATAAATTTTTTCTTAAAGCTTAAATGAACTGAGTCTCCGTTTGCTCACAACATCACGGGTAATAGCCAAATGCATTTTATTGGATAAGGAATCATAAAATCTCCATTTGCAGGTCTTCGAATACCCGACAAGTAGAGTCCAGTGTTCATTATTTACTATTGGAATCAAAATTAATTCTGATTCACTTATTGTATCCATTGTAATATGATCAACAACCCCTCTCATTTTATGGTGTTTGTATATCTGCATAAACAAGTAATGTGATTTGATCAGTTTTAGAATAATGTATATCAAATGTTGGGAAATTGGATGTTTACCTAATGTACTGGAGACACGTAAAGATAGGGTCTATATAAATTGAGTGATTGACTCCTTTTTTTTCTCCATTCCAGTTGCGAACATATCTACATTTTCAATACCTAAATAATCATTATCCCAAGCTGCTTCAATGCACTTTCAACTTATATGAATATGACCCTTCCTGATTAACATATCATCGTTGCATTTGAGAGAAATATGTTATGTTAGAGTTCAATACAGGAATCTAGCATAAAACAAAAACAACATGAGTATATCAATGTACCTGTCCTTGTATCTGTTGAAGCATGCATCTATCATTTGTTGCATGTGTGTTGGTATGAGGTCTCGGTTGGGAAGCCCTACATTTGGATACTCTACAACTGAAGGTAATGTAGCTTCCTTATTAGGGATGTCATCTTCAACTGCAGTTATTGATTTTTGTCGGTCGTCCTTCTCAGGACCATCTTCAGCCACTTCCAATTTTGTGAGTTCTGCATCGTGATCCCAAACTCCTCAATATGAATAGGTTCTTGGGTCGTAAGAATGTCAGGAGTATCCACTACCTCTGTTATTTTTGGTTGTTCTACTTCCGAACGAGGCTTTATTGGCTCGACACTAGCCTTTAAAGAATCGTGTATTTGTTCTACTAAATAATCTATTTTTTTCTTGGGAAGCTCATCAACTTCTTTATTGATCCTTCTTTCTCGCCCCCTGTTACAGTGAATAGGGTAATTATTTTCCTCTTGGTTTTAATGCCTCTAGCCTTCACCCTTCGAGTTAAGCTACCCCCCTGGGGCTTCAGGTATCCCCTCCTTTGTTGATTCCCCTTCACTCTTATTTATTTTTTCCTTTATTTCTTTGATCTCGGTCTTCAGTTCTTTCAATGTGTAATCTATATTATTAAGTCACATATTTACAGATTCTTTAAATTCAAAAAGAAATTTTTGTTGCTTCCTCGGAATTTGGAAGATATCCTCTGATTCCATATGACTGTCTGAAAATGTTTGTGAATGTGTAGGTTGAGGGATGCTTCGACTGAGGACCAGAGGATTAACACCATAAGAATCTGGTTATGGGGGGGGGGGGGGGGGGGGGGGGCTGGGAGGGTG